TTTTTGGTTGCATGCTTTTTGAGGGGGGACATGAAGCAAACCAACAAGATTTCAAGGGTCCAACGCATGAGATGGTCACTCAAAACCACAGATTCCTGGTGGTTTCCTAAGTTGGCTTCCATGAGAAATGCTCCCAATTTCAGACCTTCCTCTTTGGGTCCGGAACGCTGACAATGGTTGGATGGAGAAAACTCAAACACACCAGTTGGGACGGATGAAACCTTAGATCAACCACCAAACTTGTGCAGGACTTTGTCCATACGTACTTAGCCCCGTCCAAGAGTTGATCATGGCACACAGGTTGCCATCCCAAAAAAAAAAGCGCCGGCTCGAGCGCCCTCATTGAGAAAAAATAAGACAGCTCTTTGTAGTACCTTTTGAGGCTGGCTTTGGGCTGTAAGGGTCAAAGTACCTCCTTGGAAGGTACCAAAGGGACGCTAAGGAAAGGTGATGCGCACAGGGTGGGGAGGGGATATGAGGTGTCTCTGAAACTAGGGCGGGCCCTACAAAATGCTTTCCGTTCTTTTGGCTTCCCTTTCCAAAAGGGACACTTCTTGAAACATGGGTTTCACACTTTTACCCTTTCTTAAAGGGTGGGGGGCTCCCGCCAGTCCCCTCCCTTTTGGCTTTTGGAAGGTGCGTGACCCTGTGGCTTGGCTTGGCTTGGATATTAAGAGACGCCGACCGCCGAGGCCCGCGCGGGGTCCACTGCAGCAAGATCTCCTGGCCTGGCGACACCGTGGAGTCACAATCAAAACGCGGTACCTCGAGTCTCCATGACCCTTGAAAAATGGTTGGTCATTACCCAAAATTAAGGGGGCATGGACCCATCTTTTAAGGGTCATGGAGACTCTAGGTACTAGAATGGTCGATCCCCAGAACCACGCTTCAGGAATTATCCGCAGCTGTTTCTGGTTGGGATTGTTCCTTACCAACCTTCATCTACCCGGGTTTTGATTGTGGCTCACTTGCCGTTGACCCCTCTTCAAAGAGACTGATCTGCAGGACATTCCCTTGCGTACCTTTTTCCCCGGCATTTCACGATAGGAGCTGAGGCGGTCTAGGTATCTAGCTATTGGATGTGCGCTGTGTTGTTTGCGGCCTTCGTGCGGCTTCTTGCAATCTTGTGCATTTGCGGGCGGTTTTATCACAGCCGAGGCATTTGTGGCAATTTGCAGGCGCTTTGTTGTACGCTACGGCAAACACAGAACTGCAAGAAAATGGTTGTTGTCGGAATGTCCAGGGACAACTTTTTGTGGGTCCAATTCGGAAACTCACTTCCCCAAACAAGCGAAAGTCGAAAGATCTGCTACCAAATAGCCATAATGTGTCAGAACAAATGTCCGACAATACCACCGAAAACCGAGGGACCACCCAAAACCGATATCCATCCTGCAAGAACCATTGAGGCCCATTCTGGCAATATTGTCTGCGGTTCACACCCACAAGAAACGTTCCAAACGCATCTTCGCTTCTTTGCTTTTGATGCTCTGACATCTGCTATCAATGCGTGGGCCTGCCATGTGCATTCTGCCTACCATGCTCAAACAGCAGGCGTTTTCTTGCGGTCTGTACATCTGGCTGCCAAACAGGGGGTCTGGAGAAAACAACACATAATGATCGCTTTCAGACAATTTGACAGTCATGGCCTTAAACAAAAACAAAAATAATGCCACCCACCACCCCGCCCCACCCCACGCCACCCCACCCCGCCCCGCCCCACCCCAGCCCACCCCACGCCACGCCACCCCATCTAGTCTGAAACGGAACTCAGCCGAGTGCGACTCTCGGAGCCAGCCGCCTGTCGTCAGCATCTCCGGGGACTTGCTCCATGCGGCCTGATCCATCGCTCGCCCGGAACTTGGTTCCCTCGAAACTTTGGTACCTCTGCGGCTGGGTACCCTGGGTACCTCACTTCCCTTTACCAGAGCATTGCTCAGACATTTGGTAGCCAAACTTATGATGTTTACCACACAAATGGTCCAAACCCAGGAGGTGAGCCCTGAGGTCTGTGAAACAATAAACGCCTACCATGGGAAAGATACCCTGACTTGCACAAGGGATGGTAGGCCGGTTGGCCGCCTATTGTAGTAGGTAACGCACTATGACCCTAGTAGGTTTTGGGTGGTTTCCAGGCAATCAACTATTCTTGGATGTGCAATTCGGCATGCGATGAAGCTGCTGTCTTCGGGGAGGATGCTCTGAGTGTGTCTCGGCAGTTTCAAAGGGCAAGCGCGGAGGGAGCAAACATCGCTGATTCGCGGGCTCAACAATTTGACGATGAAGGTGCTCCTGATTTTTCTGGTGTGTGTTTTTTTGAAGTTTGCTCAGTTTTTACCCAAGTGACTGGTTGATCTTCGATTTGTTGGTCGCCTTCACTGTCTGTGTCACAAACACAAATGTGTACTGAGGGATCGGGGTTGGATCCAGACCGTGTTCCATGTTGAATTATGTTGTCCAATTTCTCAAGAGAAGTACGGGTCCGGGAGGTGTACTGATATACAAGTAAGTAGGAAGGAAAGACAACCGAGTTCCAGAAGCACATAAACTGCGCAAAGAGTTCTGAAGTGTCATGCTGCAAGTGATTGTCAGATGGGATGAGGCGGGCCAATTCAGAGGGGCCGAGCTGGCTTTTGTTTGCCTACCTCAAGGTGGGCCGGCAGGTCTGCAAGTTGACACCGAATTTACACGCGCGAGCCTATGCAATCAAAGCACCTAGTTATACTACTGAGGGCGCGCGCCGCATGCTGCAAAGCTATCTCCTCCCCCCCTCCAAGTGATGGATGGTGTAGCACTGCAGTGCATTCCTTCAGTCACAACAGTACCCTCAAGCCACGGGAATGGGCAGGTCATAGATATGCATCCATTTTCCCAAAAAATCGACAAGGGTTAAATCTCCAATCCAACACCCGCCAAGGCATGGTCAGTTTGTGCGAAAGTATATTGCCCAATTCCAACATGTTGGGCTAGCCCACATCTGCCGACAAGTGCCATCTGTCACCCTGAAAAGCTCCTTTCAAAACTCAACCTGATCCCTGTACAAGAACTGACGTTGGTTGCACACGACACCGCGTAAGACCCCAGGATATGTTGAGGGATAGGGGAACCGTTCGAACCCCCAAAATGGATCCGGTTCTCCTGTTGGTTTCCCTTTAAAGCCAACCAACACCTGAATACCCTCAAAAACAAACCTCACGAGTGGATTGCCCAAATTCAAAGTAACCACACTTTTTCTTTACCACCATGGCAACCAAACCCATAACAAAACACAAGTCCGAGCTTCCCGGAACTCGGGACCTAAGAAACCCACCGCTTTGACCGCTCGCGCGGAAGCGGACCGCCCGCGGACCGCCCGCCAGCGCGAAGTGCGCGGCCGCGGTGCCGATGGCGCAGCGGGGCGGAGGCCTCGGGTAAACCCCCAGGCGCTTCGAGGGGATCGATGGGGAAAAAGGGGCGACCGTGTCTGTTTCTGTACCCAAATCCCCCAAAAACAACCGCCCATAGAATTGGGTCAAGGGGGCAACCGTGCTTTCTTTTGGTACCCGGATCCCCAAGAACAACCGCCCATAAATGGGGAAAAAAGGGGCGACCCATAAAAAGGGATCCCCATGGCATGGATCCCCCAAAAAACGCCTTGGTGTCATGAGCGGATTGGTTTCTCAAGAGGGGTAGGGTCATCCAAAGGAAGCCACGGCTGTCATTTGGAGATCCCAAGACTTGTTGCAGTCCATTTTGGGCTCGAGCTACGTATACCCACTATATATATATATATATAGGTGCTTCAAAGAGCAAATCGTATACATACCAGTCACAACAATGCCTCTTTCAAACCAAAAGTTCAATGGGGTTCTTCCTCGCAAAATGGGACTCTATCTGAAGTTTCCAGGCCGAAATCCCAACCTGGCCCGGCCCTTTGCCATGGGAAATTGGCCCATCCAAACCGACGCTCCCAGGAACCACAGGCCACCCTAGGGTTCCGAGATGTCTTCTTCTTTGCGGGCGGGGGGGGTAAGGGGACCCCAACGTCTCTCCACAGGCAATTCCCCATTTGGGTGTGGGTCAAGACTAGGTACCCTACATGCCCTGATCCCTGGCAAGTGGAAACATGGACTCAATCCTGCGGCTGGCTGATTTGGACCCGTTTCTGAAAACACCCTATGGGAACGTCGGTATTTGCCCAGCTTCAGGATGTCGAGTCTACCCCCAACCGCCTGGCGCTTCCTCCGAGGCGCTCGCGCAGCAAGTCCTCGGCCTCTTTGGGGATTGCCGAACCTTCCAGCAGCGCCTCCGCCAAACGACTCCGGAAGCGCCTCACAGCCGGACACCACGGGGGTGGGGGGGGCGGGGAACCGGAGACTCATTCAAGACTCACTCGCTTCCATGGATTAAAGCCAACAAAAGTAACCAAACTTTGTGTATTTACATTTGTTTGGGGGGGAACTGGTGCCCCGATTCTCATCCAATTTGATTGTTTCCTATGGAATAAACTGTTGGGGGTCCCCCTCTCCTCCACGACCCAAAGGCTCTCGACTGTTGCCCAGGGGTGTCCCTCTACAGGTCGGACCCTCCCATGAGCGTCTGGGGTTGATGAATTTAATCCGGGGTGGGTGTGAGTCCTGAAGTGCAACTGCCAATTGACTGGCAGGAGACCCAAAAAGCTCAAAGGAAACGGGTACGGCGGCTACGGAATGAAATCGCCAACTTACATCAATATGGAACCCGACACAAACCGTCGTTTTGAGCGGAATCCAAAGTGGGACCCCCAAAAAATGGGGGCTCCACGTTGATTTGCAGGGCTACAAGGCAAAACACAGCTTTTTTTGTCAGACATTTGTGGATGCATCCTGAATCCTGAAGGGTTCTTTCAGCAAGACAACTCTCAAAACAGCGCTTTGTTTCAGCCCACTGACTTCCGTCTATTTATTGTTGCCGGCATCATCTACCCTATCCCTGAGAAAACCCGGCACGTTCACACCAACCGTGCGAGGAACATCTGGAAAGGTTCGGGCAGACCCCCTGCCATGCATTCACTTCCTCATAGCTTGATCTTTCCCATGGAACCTGACTAGAGGCCACTTAACGCTGGTGATCATTGTTTGCCAGGTGAGAGAAAAAAAAGAAGAAAAACACCAGAACGGCAAAAGGCAGGAAAACTTGGTTGACGTTGGAAGGGGAGCAAAAACTTAAATTTTGGCAGTTAAGCGGGGATTTCCCACTAAACCACAACAATAAAGAATGAAAAATGTTTCCCAACAACAACCACGAAAAGGGGCAAGCGCAAGCCATCGCATTTCGGGCCAGTCCTTGCGCTGGAGCTGTCCAAGTCATCGCAGGCATTGTCCAAGGGGAAGCTCACGCGCCGAGACTCCTACGGTTTCACAGCTCAGCTCAGGTCCGAGAGACTAAGAAACTCGTGAGCTCGGCATTTCTTTGCTGGTGCGATAGGTGCGAAATGATCGTCTTCCCGGGTGGGGGAATGAACCCTTAAAGGAAACCATAGGGGGATGGATTTTCTGGGGCCCATTCACTCATTCCCTGCTGAGACCCAGCAAGTTTTGAAACAAGTCTCGGCAAATTGCAGAAAAGGGCACCGGACTAATTTCCGGTTTAGGGGCGTATCCTGGAAAACATACGACCAGGGGTCTGGTGAAGTCTTGGAATCACAAAATTGAATAAACCACAACGAGGAATCCCCAGTAAAGGACCGTGGGTAAGCTCGTTCCCGAGTGAGCTTATCATTTGCCAACAAAATCGGGGCCTAGGTCGTTTGGTCGCCCCAACCTTGACGTTTTGGGGTCAAATAAGCTTGAGGAACCCATTGGAACTCGCAAGAAACTTGGGACTTGCAAGTGAAGCAAAGTCCATGTCTCCTTCATAACCCTTGCTATGGGCTTGCAAAAAGCTTTGCTTGTTGCAGCCTACTAAGGATGAAGAGAACCCAAAACAGCGAAAAGGCAAAACACGTTGCCAAGAACAGTGAAGTCCAGCGATGCACTTGCTTTCTCCTGAAACTTGCCGGCTCAAGTGGGTCTCCTCAAGTTTGCCGGGAAACCAATGGGTGTCTGAGACGGGCTCCCCTTCTCCTCAACCAGAGGCTTCAACCACCTCACCAAAACGAACATCCCAGCCATATTGACATGCACAGGCTTCCTTTTCAAACGGATGTGTCTTTTTTAGGGGAGCCCCAAAATAGTGGTTTGCCTTTGGTTTCCCTTCAAACACCACATACAAAGGGGGTGCCCTCAAAAAAAGACGCACCCAAATAGAAAGCAAACTTCCAAAAGGCATCTGTGAATGTTGGTTACAAGGTTGAAGCGCGGACACTACTGCTGGCAAAAACACCTGAAATTGAGCACAATATGGGCAACTTTGAGGTATAGCTCGCTAAAGTGGCTGTGTAGCGCTTCTTTAAGCCCCGTTTTCATTGGGTCAGTGGTTCTGGGGGGGGAGGGAAATGGAAACCCTCTTCGATATTTCCTGGCAGGGTGGATGAACAAACTCCCTGATCTCCAGGACCTGCACCACTTGGAAACCATGGGAAACCATTGCTTGTTGGTATTTATAGGGGAATCATCAGAAACCAGGCTTTCGTAGTTGGTGCGAAATGGATCTCATCCATCCACAGAAGGAACGCCACAGGGATCTTGAGGTTAGGTTGGGCCACTCGCTTTGGTGAGCTCGTTGGGTTTTTAGCATTCATGCCCTACCCAACAGTTTCGGCCAAACCTCCGGTGGCCAAGTGAAACAACGGGACACAATGCTCTCGGCTGCTCGATAGGGACACGCATCGCACTAGGGTCATAAATTTGACCATTCCTGTGGGGTTGTCAAAGTCAGGAACTGGTGGGTTCTCTTTTACCTACCCCTGGCGATGACTTCGATATTGGATATTGGTAGAATCATGGAACTAGCCTTTTTCACTTTTTGTGGGTCCAATTCGGAAAATCCGCTTCCCGAAAAAGGAAGTCCAAAGATCCGTTGCCAAATCGTTTGTTTATAAGTAAATGCATTAGAAGGCAAACTGAAACAAACAAACGAGAACCGCTGGAGGTCAGAGACTCAGGAAGCCCACGGCGCCTCAGCCAGCATGCCCAGGATGCGGAAGGCTGGCCACGCACTGGTGACCACGTCGGCCAAAGGGACGTGGATGAGGTCGAGCCTTGCACGACTGGCAGGGTTTACTCTTGCCCTGCTTGTGTGTGTGTGTGCTTGTGTGTTTGTCGAGGGCGCACTCTTCAGGTGGGTTTCACGGGAAACCCAAAGGTATTCATCATGGGCGCTCTCTCTAGTTACAACAGAAGTAAGCGGGCTATCTCGGGCAGCCATGGTCATAAACCAACAAAATGGCTTGACCATCCAAGGCATGCTTCAAAATACTGGCCCCATTGTTCTACCGTCGAAGACACCCCCAAGTGATGGGTTGAAAAGACATGCCAATAGTTTCTGACATATGATTAATAACCTGTAAGGCAAACCACAAAGGGCGGCGTTGTCTTTTCTGAGCGTCTGCCTGTTCTGGCTATCCGGCTATTCATTTGAAAGGTTCTCCCATTTGCAGACCGGCCTAAATCTCCATGCAACGCCCGAGTCTGTCAGCAAGCCGAGCTCGTTTTGCCCTGGGAGCTCGGAGGCTGATCAACGCTACACACGTGGCGACCAGTTCAGAAGGGAAGCGCAAAAAAATCAAAGGCGATACAGGTGTTGACATGGATGAATCTTTGCATGCACGATGCACGCATGCTTCACCCAAGTAAAACAATTGTGGCTAACGTTCAGTTGGATGCCAGTTCAGCCCAAACAAACATGCGCTGCCTGAGCAACTTAGGCGTGTCGCTGCGGAACGAAGTTGTGAGGCACGAGCAGTTCAATCAAAGCTCTCTCGAAAGCTCTCTCGAGGCAGCAAGACCTCATGGAAGTTGCGTAAGATCTTGTTTGGAAACGAGAAATCAGGGCAATGTTTGCGCAGGGGAGTCCCTGAGTGAGACATCCATCATCGGGTTTCAGTCTCTTGGAGAAACATGTCCACAACTCCGCAAGGCATGGGTAACAACTACGCTTCATTTGAACATGTGCCTAGTTTGAGGAATGGTTGTGCTTCCAAGAAATACCCAAATCGCATTCCGACTGATTTGCTCCGAAACGCCGTGCAAAGAGGTGGCTCTCCAATTCGAACCGACACTTTTTTACCTGAGGCGCAATCACAACCTGGATTGAAAAAACACATAGGCAAATCCACAAACAAAGCTAAAAGGGCGGCCAGCCGGCTAGCTGCCCGCATATTTGACCCATTTATGGCCACGACTATCCCTTGCTGAACTTGACTATGATTCTTGCTCACCAGCGCCATCAATGCCAAACAGGAAAGGACGCATTGCTGCCTCCGCGCTTTCGCCAAAAATAAGTCCCATATTTTTGAGACCTGCAGTGGATGGACGAAATCCTGCACCACCTAAGAAACCCTAGAATGATGGCTCCCGTGTAAATACCAGCAAACAATGGTTTCCCATGGTTTCAAAGTGGTGCAGGAATTTGTCCATCCACAGCATGCAGCACGCAGCCCCCCCCCCCCCTCCCCCGGGCGGCCGTCGCGTTCCAACTTCCAAGGCGCCCCATGCGCGCGTCCCGCATCTGGATGCAGCGGTCCGCGTCATTGGAGATGAGCACCGTAAAGAGGCGCAGCGTGAGGACCCCTGTAGTTCACGAGACGCGCGACAAAACAGCGAACCAGCCGCAAACCTTAAGGGAAAATCCGGGGATGTATGTTGCTCCCAACCGAACCAGCCACAAACTAAGGGAAAATCCAGGGATTTACATTGCTCCCAACTGGCAACGTGGAATGTCAGTCTCGAAATGCAAGAAACCTGTGTAGGTTGGCCTTCGGGGCAGCCAAGTAGGAAACCAACGCCACCTGGAGAGTGCGGTAAATTTCATTTTTCACTAAATAGCGCTCACAGTCGGGTCTGTCTCAAGGAATAGGAAATTACTCCCGCGTAATAGTAAACAAAATCCCAGAGCACAAAATTCGTCAAACATTCAACTAGAGTTGACCAATACCAACTCAATTCTAAACTACCGGAATGTCCCGCCAGGTCCAACCCAGCATGATTCGGTGGATCCCTGAAGCCAGTTCTAAAGCAGGTCCAGACCAAGACCAAAAGGTAAACAAGTGCATGGTTAAACTTATTTAAATCCTTCACTTAAACATGCATGTTGGAAGGCTTTTGCTTTTTGTGGACCTCCCTGTATTTCAAAGGCGCCCAGGGGCCCCCAAATAGTACCAGTTTGTTCTTTTTGCCGGGGGTGTGGAGGGTGCGCGGGGGAAAGGCAAACCTCCAGGTCTTGAGCAGATGGTCCTACAGAGTCCTATGTTCCTAAGGTTCTAGCTAGACGTTGTGGTTATAGTGCTGGATCAGCGAGTAAATTCCCGCCAGAGGTCCATGTTGCGCCTAGAACTAGAGCAAAATGGACATCTTTGGCCTGATTTGGAGATAATTAAAAAAACACATTTCATTGCGAGTTGCACATCTCTACAAAACGGAGCGTTTCCATTGGTAATGTCAACCGGTGCCAGGGAAACACGAACAGCACATATTTTTTCGCCACCGCTTGGGGCGTTTTTGTTCAGCTTCGCGGCCTATGGGGCAGCCGCTGAACCAGAGGTTGGTGTGCGCAGTGCTGGAGAACCAGGAGAGGAGCCACTTGAAGTGCCTGTCACACACGGGCAGACAAGCCCAGAGGTTGCTGGGGAAAAACAACCTGATGTTCGACCCCGCATTAATAGGCAGTTCCCCACTGCCTGCGGCCAGGGGTTGTGAAAGAAAAGAGTGCCCTAAACCCCAAACCCCTGAACCCCGGATTTAAAAATGAAGAAAACTCCCACAAATTGGCAGGTGTTCCCCCACGAAGTGGCGGAGTTAATATTGCCTGTCCTATGAATCGGCAGATGTTCCCTCCAAGTAATCCGGATCCCCACTCAACTGGGAGTTGGGCTTTAGTGCAATCCCTGACAAACACGGCCAGAGGATGCTGGAAAATGCTGGAAATGTCCCCTAATGTTGACCCTGGAAGCATATACCTGTCCCATGAAAATCGGCAGTTCCCCACGTGGCATCAAACTCAACAGGGAATTGGACTTTCGTGCCATCCACTGGCGGGATTGCAATTCGCAAAATTGAATGAGCTTGAGGGACCCCGGAAGAGCGACTGTCTGGGCGTGGATCTCAAAGGTGACCTTGCGCTTAGGTTTCTCAAGCCTAATATCCCAGCCACCAAGCCAAATGGTCATGGTTTCATCAGAAAATCCTGGTTCCTCTCCGCCTCCTCACCGACAGCTGCCGGAAAAAGTCCGCAGAGTTGTCCAGCAAGGCGTCCAGCTCCTGAAACACATCGGCGATTCTTCCCTCATCTGGCCAAATCCCCAAGAAACCAACGGAAGCGGGAAGTCTGCAGGAAGATAGCCAAAAAAACACCTGGTGTGTTTTGTGGGGATTTTGCGAAGCTCGAAGTCCAGAAAACTGGGGATGAAGACCTTGCGGCATTTGTATAGGGATTGCAGTGATAAGCAAACCTTGCAACCAGACAGGCAGGACTACTGCCATTTTCTGAAGCCCCCTGGAGAAAATACAAATATTTCCTGTAGTGATAGATTCCCTTTAAAACCAACAGGGGAAAATAAAAACTATATTCATTTGAGCAAATGGAAGACCAAATGGCAATTCACGTTCTTTTTGTCAGATCGGAACCTGCGGATTCACTAAAAGAGTGCTGGCAGAGAGCAACAGGATTGAATCAATGCCATCTGCGATTTTTCGACTACCCGGCCTTCAACATGGAGCCATTTATTCTTGGTTGCTGTAACGACCCCTCAAAACCTTGAACACTTCTTTGTGGGTCCAACTCGGAAAATAAACCACCTGTTTCACCCACAAACATGTTAAAGTCCAAAGATCCGTTACTTAATAGCAACAAAACTGCGGCTCTCTTTGAACATCCAAGTAGGAGCCCAAGACCTCACTATTTGATGCCTTTGGGGGTTGAAGGCCGTCATATTTAGGGTCCATGAGGGATGGGCTAGCTTGGCCGTCTGACAGGGGCCAACTTGGCGAATCGAACATCCAAGGGCCCATGAGCGTCTGAAATGTCGGTCCTGGCGGATCGAGCGCCAACCTTGGTTTCGGATCCCATGGATACGATTTCACGAGAGATGTGGAGAACCAGGGCCAACCCTTGGGCCAAATAGGTTTATCTTCCGTAAGGGTACCTAGACAAAAACAAAGGGACCTCACCCCATGATTTAGGGGCGATCACCGCTTTTGTATGGGTAGTCTGCTTTTTTGAGTAGGGGACCCAGGACCCTTTGGATGATTTGGTTCCATCTACAGGATCAGCCAATCGGGGGAGCCTTCGGCTGTTGGTCTGAGGGTGCCCAAAGAAGCGATCGCTTGGCAGCTTTGGTTCCATCCAATCGATCGCTAAAAATCAACACCCATCTACATCGGCCAATTGGGGTACCTTCCGGCTGTTCGTTTGAGGACGTCTAGTCCCTGTGCCCAAAGGGCTAGCTTTCGCTTGGCAAATGACTCTGATGGATCGCTCGACTGAAACCTGGTTGACGTTGGAAGGGGAGCAACAAATTAATTTTTAGCAGTTAAGTGGTTGGATTTCAACCACTAAACCACAAAAAGCAAACATGTAAAATGTTTCCCAACGACTATGGAAAGGGCTCCTAGCGCCAAGCAGCCGTAGCGCCACGGCACAGGCCAGTTCCTGTCACCAGAAATCCCCGAACATGGAAGCAGAGATCCCCGAACGGTCCTCCAGTAGAGAGGTTAGAATCAGGCATCAGTGCCCGACTTTTTTGTGTGTCTATTTTAGTCAAGGAACCCTCCCACTATTTTAGTCGGGGAACCCTCCCACCAAAAAAAGGGTAAAAGGGCACTACTAGGGGACCTAGTCCCATCAAAACATCGCTCTTCGGCTCACTGCATGTACAAGGGAATCAGTATTCCAGGGCTTCTGAACTGTTGTGCGAAATGGATTTTGTCCATCCACAGTATGCTTCCCCCCTAAGCATCCCCGAATTCCCACGAACCCCATGATCATTCGCCGGTGGGCGAGCCAAAGCCAACCAAAAAACGCCGCCGAAAAACAGACCTTGCATCCATTTGCTGAAGCCCCCCCCCGAAAAAATAAGAACATAGTTCCAGTGATAGATTCCCTTTAAAATCAGGGGCAAACAGAAAAACCACTTCTCAAACAAATGTAGCAATTCTTAAACTCAAATACCCAGTGGCCGTGGAAAAAAAGGGCATCCTTGTTGGGTTGGTTGAGTTTAAAGGAACCGGAACCCTTCCCTGAACAAAGTTAGAAAAAAAAAGAAACAGAATTGGCGGAATCCACTGGGCAATAAACCACTGGACGCCGGTCAGCGGCTCAAAAGGCGAACCGGATTCGCCTGCCGGAGGCCGGGCCCTCCCGAATGTTGGAGGACTCATTGCACAACATGGCGAGGCAAAACCCATCGAGGCACCGGGATCTGCACTGTCACCCGTTCGTTGAAAAGTCGGCTCCCAGTTGGATGGAGCTGGTGTTTTGTTTCCATGTCTGTTTAAATACATATATATATATATATTCTTATTTATTTATTCATATTTTTTTTTTATTTATTTTTTCGTAAGTCGTGTCGGCGGAGAGGCTGTTGTTGTGTTTTTTGGCTGGGACAAACTGGTGTGCTGATGTTTTTGGGGCTGGGACAAGCTGGTGGGAGAAGGCTGAGGTTGGTGGCTGTGAGGATACGTGCTTGACAAAAATGAGTTGGCCGACTTGCTAGCGTGAAGCTCAGGTCAAACCGTTTCAGGTTGGTTTGCTAGTATGGGATGTTGCCATATGCGGCCTGTTGTTGAAATATGCTGCCTGCTGCCCATGTCTGCACTGCCATGACCGTGCAACCACCTGGCACCAAGCACTTTGACGGACTGCTTGCGCTTTGCTGAATTTGTCATGTATTGAGCCACGGGCAACAGTCTTTCAACAAACCCCAGCGTGCCTGGCAGCCTTCCTATGTGTCAAAACTGTTTGACATGTAAGAAATAACAAATGTGCTGACAAGCATTTGATAAATTTAGCTTTGATCTTTGGCTTACATTTACATCAGGCTTGATGTGGGGGCTGATCAAAAGGCCATGTAAATGGTATGTTATGACCATTAATCATTACATTGCATCTGCGCGGGGATGCAATGTATGACATATTGTGACATGATATGACAACAAACAACTCCAGAAGAAACCAAGACACAAACACAATGTCATGAAGGGCCATTCACTACTAGCCCTCTCGATTTAGAGCTTGCCAGAGTCGCCGTCGCCGTCATCCTGAATAGCAGCATCAGCATCAGCATCAGCAGCATCAGAATCAGCATCAGCATCAGCCGCACCACCATCACCATCACCATCACCATCACCATCACCATCATCATTATCATTGTCATCAGCAGCAGCAATAGATGCAAAACTGACCATATGGCTGTGGGTCAAAACCAATGGTACCATTTTAGGGTAGGTGCACCCCCCATTTTAGTCTATTTTAGTTGGGGTTGGGATGTTCACTGGTGGTTCGGGATTTGGACCCATGGCCGTATCATTACCCCACAAATCGATAGTGGACACCGGGACACCCCATTTCTGACACCTACCCCAACCAGCAAAAAACATCGCGGCCAATAAACATCCGATACCCCGTTGCTCAATCACATGCAGCGCACAGAGGCAGACAAGGCTCAAGTGCCGAAATGGTCAAGGAAGTAATCTTGTTTGTGCTCAGTAGGGAATGATCCAGGGTGTTGGAAATGAACCGGAAGGGGATTTCCTTTATAGAGTCATTCCCTTGTTCCCTGCTGAGAACCGGCAAGTAATTACGTGCCCCTGACTTAGTCAGCGACTTGCCCCCTACCATCGCCCTTTGAACAAGGGGCTAGCAAGGGGTAACACGCTTCACGCCCCAATGCATGTGGCTATTCCCAAGTAGCAGCACTGTTTTGCCATCCTGGCCTCTGCGCATTGTCAAAAGCCAGGCTCTCTTTGTCCCTCGCCCTTTGGGAAACATTGGACTCAGATGCCCAGTGGCCATGGGAAAAAAAGGGCCACCCTTTTTGCAATGCTTGAGTTCAAAGGGGAACCCTTCCCCAACAAGAAATAAAAAAGGACGCCACTGGGCAACAGAGTAGAAGGTCAGAGGCTGCCTTTTGCCTCCCCTGACCTCTCCCACGCCACGCCAGCACGCACGCCAGCACGCAGTGCGGCCAACTTCCGATCGTCAGGGCGGCTGCTTCCTGGATGCAAAGGGCAAGGGGTGTTTCTAAACGGAAACAACGTGGATCAACCAGGTGAAATTTTCAACTTGGGGTGCAACCCATTTGTATGGAAGGAACTGGGGTCACTTTGCATTTTTTGGCGGGGCTTCATCAAGGCAATCCAGATGCCCCAAGAGGTGGCGCATCCAAAGCAAGAAGCTGGAAGCTTTACCAAAATAGGGATAGAGACCCCTGAGAATTGGGTGGCTTCTTGCCGGTTTTCTCTTCAAGCACCATCCAAAAGGGGTTGTCACCGCAGACTTCAGAGTGCATTCAGAATGCATTCAAGCACCACCCAAATCCCGAATCACGGATCGATCCCGAATATGCAGATTGATTCCCGGATCGCCAAACAAAAAGCAACTTATTTTTTGAAGTCATGGGTTATGACTGCAAACTTGCCATGTTTGTGCTGGCTCTCCTCCTAACGGAAACGGAAACTCACTGCTTGGGGCTTTTGCCCCAAACCCCCCAAAATGTCCAATCCATCAAGCCAGGGTTGTAAAAATAGGGGGCCACATCACACGAGTTTCGGCCTTCCTGGTGGCTTCCCTTTAAACCAACCTGGGAAGGACCAAATAAACATGCAAATAGCTTTGAATGGTCTTGTGTCTAATTGGAACTCCCAACATCGTTCTTGAGGCTCGTTTTTTTTTTGGGGGGGGAAAACTCGAAAGCAGCCACAGGGCCGATGTCCAGCACCCACATCACCTTGGGAAAAGCCAGCCTGAATTGTGCTCCCGTTGGGTGGTATCATTTTATTTATTTGTGTTATTTAAACGCACATCTAGGGAGGCCACCTGAAAACTCTTCAGATCTTCGGGCAGGGCAGGATTTCCCCGAATCGACCCGAAAACCGACGAACCGCCAAACAACTTTAGTCTGAGAGAAAATAAAATTTGGGTGTGTCTGAGTTATAAAAAACAAAACCTTTTGGTTGATTTAAGGGGACGCCAACGGGAATTTCGACACCCAGAAACATTCTAAGAGCAAGACCAACTAAAGGAAACTTGGGTGCATAGTTTGAGGGACCAAGCCTTTTGGTTGAATTCAGGGGAAGCCAACGAACACTTTGGGCCCCGCAATCTTGAGTCAACGAGATCGATGCCCCGAGTTTTCCTCAGTCGGGACAGCAGGTGGGGCTGCATGGCGCTGCGCTCTGTGGCCATCTCCACGCGGTACCTCGAGTCGACGGCCGCGTCGACGGCCGACTTCGTCGGGGTAGATGGCCCAACTAGATGAGTAGAGTTAGGCCCAGTGACATGAGGTTCATATTGCCGCAAGGTTCCGGTTGTATAGTTGCACTGTTTCTAGTGTGGAGTCATGATTGGAGTTCGGCCCAGTTATAGAATGTATATTTTATGGTTTGCTTCACTTTGAGTCACTGGTAAAATGCAAGATGTATCCCAAGTCTACACCAGAGACTGGTAAAAACCACCAGGTACAATATATGATGCCGCCGCATAGGGCATACACAGGTTTGATCAATATCCTTGGGAGGCAACCCGTTTTTGTGAACCGTTGAACGAGTCCCCCTGATGCCGCGCCCCACATGCGTCTTGGGCTATGGCTCCAGGGTCATGGGCTCGTTCTGGGGCCGGATCTCGCAAATGCGCCGCACCTCAGTCACCTGGCGGCCGCGACACGTCGGCTCAGCGACGCATCGGCTTCTGCGCCTTTGTGTGTTTTCTCTCCGTGGAATTGAAAGGCACCTTCCCAGCAAGAAGCGCTTCGTCACTTCCTGAGTGGGTTGGCCAGAAACAGTACGCAAACTGCTTTAATTCACCACTGAAATGGTCTTTGCAAAAAGCGTAAAGTCCATTAGCTCAGGGAGTGAGCTTAATTGAAAACAAAAAGGACTTTGCAAAGAAGGCTCGACAAGGGACACTGGGACAAGCAGGGTGTTCAGGAAGACTTGAAGGAAACCAAGCGAACCCGACAACACGAAAGGATTCACACAATAACTTAAAAAGGGGAATAACTCAACAAACCATGTGTTGGGGGGGGGGAGTTTATAAAAAATAATTAAACACACAGAACATCCCCCCAACAATTGTAAGCAAGGACTTAGAAGGGAACTCACCTCTTCTCTCCCAACTAACATTGAAATAGCAAACAAATCAACATAGGATCTGAAAGGCGAACCCTCCCATGAAGGATCTAACATGCAAACCTCAAGAGGATTGCTCCGAGCCTCTGAAGGATCAAAACACAAAAACACGGGCAAACAATCGGTTTGGTTTGGGTTCTGGCAAAAGACAAAATTGAAAGGTGAACCCTCCCATCAGAAAGGATGCAAAAGGGGAACCCTCTCCTTTTAAGGAGTCGAAACATGATACGATTCCGATCTCTGGAACTTGCTGCCGGAACACAAACAGCAAGCAATGAATCAACAGTCAACACATTGGCAACAAAGGGCTCACGGTTGATCACCCCCTGGCTGATAGGAAGCCGGTTTGACTAGGACTAGGAATCCGATGGAGTTGTTCACCCAAGCGTCTCTGATGGACAAGATCCGCAAACTGTCATGCCAAAACAAGCACAACCCAACGTAATTGATTTTGGGGCTATGGGCCAAAACCCTCGAAATTAAAACATAATTCCCTCCTTTATCGTATAGTATTCCAAGAGTTCACCTTACTTTGGATTGGCTGGGATTGGTGGTTTGGAGATTGGACCTTATTCAAGGAACTGAAACTGAAATTCAACTCCCAATTCAAACCGCCAAACAAGGACCAATTTGGTCGCCCCGTTTGTTTCAAGGAACTGGGCTTCAAAACCCAGTCCAAACCACCAAACCACAAAAAACATGGACCAAGTTGGTACCACCAAACACGGACCCCAAGTTCACTGACCCAGGTTTTCCCCAAAGGAACTGGGGTGCAAATCCCAACCCAATCCACCAAAAGGACCCCGAGTTCACTGGCACAGGTGTTTGGACAGGACCCCTGCCACTGGCGTTGGTTTTTGGCCACTTGGTTGCTGTTGACCCCCCTGCAAAAAGTTTAACTTTTTGGGGGTTTAGTAGAAAACACTTTACTTCCCAAAAAGTTAAAGTCTAAAGATACAACTCAAAAGCAGTCAAGGCCAAAGCGAAACTTCGGTTGACCTAACCTCGACCTCAGGACCTCAGGACCCGGGCGAAGGGCCGCCGGGCTTGCTGCGCCCGGGTAATGCCTTGCATCCGGAAGGCCGTTGCATCCGAAGGGATGCGTTTTTACGGCCTCTGAACTCGGCGGCTTTCTGCGAAGCCCTGCTAAAAAAGTGACTGACTTTTAGTGGTTTAGTACGGAAAACCCATGAGTTGGAGCAAAAAGTTAAGGTCCTAACATCCCTTGGCCAAATGCACCAAAGTGAACGGATTGAACTCCCGGACCTTCAACCCACAAAAGGCGATCACCCCATCTGGGCGAATTTTATGATATATTTCACCAGCCTGATTTTTTGGTGGTTTGGGGGCTATTCCCCACGTAAACCACCATTTGGGGTGAGGTGTGAGGTCGTTATAATTCACCCAGACCCCATCAGTTTGGGGCAATCACCCATTTTTTATGGGTAGTTTCAGGCTGTAGGGACAGGGAGACGATTCAGGCTCTTTAAAAGGAAGATATCTCAATTTGGGACCTAAATAAAGGGTGTCTAGTTCTAAAGGGTTGCCGTACCCGCGTCCAACAAAAAGGCATCCCTCTTTTGGACAACCCGCACTTAGGGACAAATCTTTCCACTGCTTGCAAATGGGCAGCAAGCACCTCGTGCCAAAACACGAGCAACACCGTAGGCACCAACGGCGGAGACAACACTCGCCGATGTCAAGAAACTAGTTGTCTAACTCGCTGGAGCCTTGTAGGGATGGGTTTGACATGGCACATGAAACTCAGGAAGGGATCTGAGCGTTCGCAGGATCACCTCCTTGTCGTAGGTGAGTGCTCTTGAATTTCGCCGAACTGTCCCCAGTTCTGAAAGAGGTACTCTTTTCAATACTTGCTCCAAACCCTTGCATTCGTTGTTGTCGTGGCGTCCACAGGGAAAGGGTGAATGACTGGTGGGATCAACTTTTAGTGTCCTGACAAGTCAAGTAGCTATTGAACGGAGTTTCGAACATGTCTTCACCAGGCTCGGACTCAGAATGGCAAAAAGGCGTGCCCTGAAAGCAAGGAGAGAAGCGCCAAAGTAATTACTCCGCTGCCGGCGTTTCTTGCGTGCAAGGCTGCCATCACTGCAACTGAGCAACTGGGGAAACATAGGCAGACCTGGTTTCGTCCTCCCCGGGAGCCGGGCCGTTGTACCTCGTCCACACATCAAAGGAGTCCTGACATGATGGGCCGAAGATTGCTGGTTCTCAGGAAGGTTCAAACGTTTTGGAGTGAATCCGACGGGGAATCCCCTTAAAAAAAAACTACACGGTGCCTAGGGTTTCCCGCAATCCCTGAGATCCAGCAAGAATGTCGTGTACGCCATTTCGGGGTATTCCAGAGGTTCCAATCTGCTGGGAATTATGACCCCCTTGTTTTTCCTGCATGTCACCTATCTGCATATTGTGCTTTGATCTTTAAAAAATGAAACAACCCCTCAGATAAGGGACTGCCAAGTAACACACCTTCATCATGGTGAGCTCGTTTCAGCGCTGGGTGAGCTCGCCACAACATCCTAAGCATAATAGGCTGGAAAATGAGACAGAACAGAAATCACAAAACTAACCCAAAAAAACAACGGAGGAAGATAAAGGAGAAACAGGAGGCTGTATTGCTACTTGAATAGAAACAAAACAATAACTCTTGATTTTATGCGAACTCTTGCATATGCCGGTTCGTTCGTACTCATTTGTTTAACCGTTCACTTGAAGCTCTCTAAATAAGACTGCCAGGCATGAGGATCTTGCTCAAAGCGCCATGCAGATTGAGCCCATGAACTGCCCTGGGCTTCCCTTCGGCTCTTGTGTTTCAAACAAGCCGAAGTCGGCCCATGTCATGGAGAAGTTTGAGGGTCCAGGAGTCCAGGTGGGCGCTTCCGCTTGACTCCAAGTCACGTCAACTGAACTGCTGCCCTTTGTCTCAAAAACACAACACCTAACTTCGATTAACTTTGCTGAGAGGCTGAGACGCCGCCCCCAGTAGTGTCTCACAACAAATGCACCTCATGTCGATTGGCTTTCCTGAGACTTTGAGACGCCGCCCCCAGTAAAAGCATCACCGCCGTCCTGCGTGTAGGTGCCTTCGTTCACCTCTGAGAGGCCATTGGAGGAGGTGCCTCAGCACCCAGCTACGGCTCCTCCCCTGAATTTTGTGGGAGATGTCTTGGTGGCGGTAACGACCCCTCTGGAAAAAGTGAAACACTTTTTGTGGGTTCAATTGGGAAAATCGTCCTTTCCCCAAAAAAGTCCAACAACTCCCACCAGCCATAAAGATGTATACTGTATAGTAGTCCTCCAATGTCCATTTATCCCAAGATAGACTGGATACCCTAGGCTCAGCCGGATGATGCGGGTGAAGTGGATCCAGTTCTATTTGGGGGTGACGTTTTAGTGGTGACACCCTGTCAATAAAAAGGGGAAGGGTGCCCTTGACCAACTGAGTCACGGTTGGGATTGTCCCTTACTAACCTTCATCTACCCGGGCTTTGATTGTGGCTCAACTTCTCTCGTTTGCTTTCTACAAGTTGATGGAACTCAAAGCATTCCAAAATTCGTCACTGGCCAGGAGATCGAAAGGCTTTGGTAGGCTGTTGCACCCGGGAATTGACCTTGACCTTGTCAATCTCCTTTCCAACTGGCCCAGTGATGTTCTGAATAATTAACACAAAGAAGCATGTTGTGTCGGGTAAATCGCATTCACGCCGAAAAATCACACGGCAGTAGCTTGGCTAGATGAACAAAACTACCCCCCCCAACAAAAGAAAGAAGAACACCAAGACTCTAGGGACAAGTTGTGTATATAAACCGAAGCTTTGTACAGAGGCTGTTCCTTGAGACAAGTTATGCGGGCGCAGTGGGAACTCTCTTGGAGCACAGGCAATGTCAACTTTGGATCAATCTGGAGCATACTTATCCGACGAAGCCCCCTCAGGCAGCCCACCCCTGGATTGCTCTTGTTGCTAATCAGAAGTCGATATGGTGTGTCAAAATAAGGGGACCTAAACGTAGTGGTTTTCCTGCAGGCCACCCCCAAAACAGGTATCCTCAAAAAACACGCGCACCCCATGAGGTTTAACCCTCCCTTTGGCTGTGCTGTGGTTTGAACGCGTTCACGGGCTTCAATTAAACAAAGAACAACCTGTTTGGCTAGGTCCTCCAGTAGAGAGGATAGAATAAAGGCACCCGTGTTTTTTCTGTAATCTATTTTAGTAGTGGAACCCTCCCCCAAAAAAGGGCTTAGAAAGGGCACTACTGGGGGACCTAGGTCTGGAGTCCGGCCCATTTTGAAGCAAAACCCGGGAACGCGAATGGGCCATCCCGAAGCTGGCAAATGG